TTGTACTGCAGTATCGGGGGCGTGACTGCAAATCATGAAAAATGTTGATCAATATGTTTTGAGTATTTATGAGTTGAATGTCTTTCTGGACTTCTTTCTCTTTTTCAGTTCCTCTAGAGTTGTGTTTGCTTTGAGAATTTCATGACAAGCCAGATCTAATTCCCCCCCACGCCCTTGACGCAAACGGTTAGAATGAAAATTGCAGTGTTCAGCTGACTGAAGCGTCAGCATTAAAGTGAGAGTTTGCGTCTCTGCTCTCATGCTCTGAGCCATGACGCTCTCTCTTTCTCGCTTTCTGTCATGTTGACTTTGGAACAGCAAACATGCCTGCGAGGTGAAGGGCAGTATTCCTCTCTCACCATGCGGATGGAATGCAAAAAAAAAAAAAATGCCAAGTTCATGAGTCTTCGCCTTATCTTCTGTAGTTAAGCCTAATGATTTATGCGTCACGTCCTGCAAATAGACTCAATGGTTATTATAATGACATCAGGTTCCATCTGAGTTCATCCCGCTCTGGTCCAGGCTTCAGTTCCACACGAGTGAACACACTAAACATGTGATTGAGAGTCTTCTGTACATGCTGACTCCCTGCAGGCTCGTTCTTCCTCGCCGTTATGAGCACGCCGGCTGTTTACACACCCTCACCAAAACTCCTGCAGCTCAAGTATCGGGGGCGTGACTGCAAATCATGAAAAATGTTGATCAATATGTTTTGAGTATTTATGAGTTGAATGTCTTTCTGGACTTCTTTCTCTTTTTCAGTTCCTCTAGAGTTGTGTTTGCTTTGAGAATTTCATGACAAGCCAGATCTAATTCCCCCCCACGCCCTTGACGCAAACGGTTAGAATGAAAATTGCAGTGTTCAGCTGACTGAAGCGTCAGCATTAAAGTGAGAGTTTGCGTCTCTGCTCTCATGCTCTGAGCCATGACGCTCTCTCTTTCTCGCTTTCTGTCATGTTGACTTTGGAACAGCAAACATGCCTGCGAGGTGAAGGGCAGTATTCCTCTCTCACCATGCGGATGGAATGCAAAAAAAAAAAAAAAATGCCAAGTTCATGAGTCTTCGCCTTATCTTCTGTAGTTAAGCCTAATGATTTATGCGTCACGTCCTGCAAATAGACTCAATGGTTATTATAATGACATCAGGTTCCATCTGAGTTCATCCCGCTCTGGTCCAGGCTTCAGTTCCACACGAGTGAACACACTAAACATGTGATTGAGAGTCTTCTGTACATGCTGACTCCCTGCAGGCTCGTTCTTCCTCGCCGTTATGAGCACGCCGGCTGTTTACACACCCTCACCGAAACTCCTGCAGCTCATCGGTTTCGATAACATTTGCACCAACCCTGCCCTCTGTTGAAACAAGGCAACACTGCACCTCCCTTCAAAGCACTTAACCCTATCCCTGATTACACAGTTAACCGCTTCGCATGATAATGATTTTTTTTTACTTGTGTGCACAGGATACTCAGGTACAGTCAAACTAAACAATCCTGGTCTTGCACCTTCACAGAAACTCATTTTGAGCATACGGGAGTGAATACAATATGCCAAAAGTGAAGTGGCACAGTTGGTCTCATGTCTAGAAACATTTTTAGTATTGTGAAGCAAATATTTTGTTTTTTTCCAGCATCAGACCATGTTTTAAGTAAGATTTTAACATGTCTAACTTTCGTATAAGTGTAAACACAGTGTAGGATTTTTTAAAAAACTTTTGTTAAGTATCAATGAGCTTCATGTGAAGCTGGATTGTTTGTTTTTGAATGGCATAACTACTGAATACAGTATGCAACATGGGTTCATGGTTGCGTACATGCTAAGATGCGTTGTGTTGATACTTTATGATCTCCATTTTGAGTGCTTTGCTGCCATTTTTTTGGCATCTATATGCAGTTGCATAACCCTTTCAGATTAAAGCGGAGAGCCAAAATCAAATAAAAGTCGAATAAACTAAAACCACTTGCCAATTCTACATTACATGTAGCATTAGATGTAAACATTGTGTGTGTCTGTGTGTGTTAGCAATCTCTGGATAGCCGTCACCGTCTGCTGTGCAAGCAGCGGGAGGACGCCAAAGACCTGAAGGACAACCTGGACCGACGGGAAAGCCTGGTGTCCACCTTCCTGTCCCGCCAGCTGAGCCCCGAGCAAGTGTGTGACTATCGGCGCTTCGTGCAGACCAAGGCCTCACTGCTCATCCGCCGCAAGGACCTGGAGGAGAAGACGAGGCTCGGCGAGGAGCAGCTGGAGGCCCTCGCCAAAAGCCTCCGTCTCTGAGGGTGGACATTTTGTTTCAGGAGCACGCACTGGTCTAAACCGGTTTGGACGATATGCTTATCTCCGCATCTTGCAGACTCTTTCCATCCCCGCTGTGCCTTGATTTCAGCGTCACCCTCGCTAGCTTGAATTCAGCTGCATTTCCCCTCATCGTCCACAGGGGGAGCCCACTAGACTCTCACACAGGGAGCCTGCAAAAAAAAAAAATGCTGCAGCAGAGTTTTAACAGACACCTTTTACATGGAACCCAACGAAGGTGGGCTATTGCCATAAAAGTCATCTGACATCCCGCAATCTACATTTCTGTCAACAGGCAACCTTCATCCCCGAGCCCCCCCCCCCCCGAATCGCTCATCCAATGACAAACCACAGACACTTTCATGGTCTCAGACACAACAACAATCAACATAACACCACTGCAGGTTGACGTCAATCTGAGGTGGGTACAGTAGCTACAAATTATACTCAAATAAGAGTACTGTTACACATGACTATATTACTCAAGTAAAAAGTAAATTGAGTAAAAATGAGCATTCAGGGGAAAAAAACTACTCAAGTACTGAGTAACTATTTAGTACATTCTGCTTATTTTTTTTAAAGGTGAAGTCAAGTCAAAAGTATTCTTTACAATAATGCATTCTATGCGTCCTCACTACTTGGAACACACTATTCAGGTTAATGTTGAATCTGTGGAATATGAATTAAGCAGAAAAATACACCTGTTTCTATCAATCTCTGGGGGGGCCATTTTGCTTTGTACTGACACATGCTGGCGACTGGAAATGACATCAGAGTCCCTCACGGCTCAGCTTGTGAATGTCACATGACCAAAAACCCAGAAAACAGGTCAGCCTTGATGGTCGTTACCTGAGCCCATTTGACAGTACCCAAAGTGGAAATCTCTTGAACAAATCAAAATATTCACTTACGGCTCTGTTACTACCTGAATGTCGCCAGGTCACCTTTAATCAGGAGAGAAACTTAGGGAAAATCCCAATTTTTACCAGGTGTGTTCAAGCCAGGCTGCTCTCGAAGCTTTAAGCAGCATAGGAGAAAATCACGTGGTTCAAGGCACTAAAAAAAACCAAAAGGTGAACGACAACTAAAAAAAAAGCACTTTGTAACAATACAGGAATTCACATTTCTTCACTCGTAAATCAAACAGCCTTACTCCATCCAGCTACAACACGTTGCTCTTACCATCTTTGTCATGAACAATATCACTGTCATAATGTTTAGATTTGTGTTCTCAAGGTACGTTAGGGTCATGTTCAACTTCTGGGGTTTCACTGTCAGGAATGAGATGTCATCTCCCTTGTCCATTGGTTACTTCATACTTGAACGATATACATCTTGACAAACCTTAGTTACTCATAAAATTCCATCATTGTTTTTAACCTCCACGAACATTGGAGCCAAAATGTCAGATGTGTATGAGTGATGTTCAATATGAACACGTGTGTGTGTGCGCGTGTGTGTGTGTGTGTGTGTGTGTGTGTGTGTGTGTGAAGAAAATGTTGGTTTGTCAACAATATTCCTGTTTATGTCATGAATGGATTCAAATTCTGATCGTCCCTCAGCAAATGACCTGACAAGAACACACCCACATCCGACATGTGCTGCCTGTGGACTATTTTGTATCATATATTTATGTTTTAATTCAAGGTTGTGGGTGAAGCCACAAAATGGATTCCGCTTTCCCTCCATCTAGTTACCCAGTGGACCATAAAAACTCTTCTTTTTTTTCTTCTTCAGTGTTGCTTTGTTATGACATGACTTTTCTTAAAAGAGGAAGAGAGAGTTCAGAGTTTAATGACATCACAGATGTTTTTTTTTTTCTTTGTTTTAACACCAGCTGAGTCACACGTGCCTGTTTGGAGTTGTAAATTCCACTTTGTCTTATCGTCAATAAATTAAGAACCTTTCCCTTTAAGTGACACGAATAATTGTCAAATGATTTCAATTTGGGATTTTTGGAGGCGCGACTGTTTAAAAAGTAGCGAAAAGATGAAGCCCTTGCAGGAATATTGAGGTATTTTGCGCCCTCTGCTGGAACTTTAACGCACTGACACAGAATCTAAACCTGTAAGGAGAGTCGGGACAAAATTTGCTCTAAGGATGTTATTTTAAAAACAATAGTTATGATAAAATATATAATTTAAAATAAAACAAAAATATCATGAAATTGGATACGTAAAACAACAATCTCAGTACTGTGCTGTTATATTTCCATCGATTATTAATTCAATGTTTGAGTGCTAAAGTCTTCCTGTCATGAGATGATGAGTATTTATGGACCTGATGAAGACTCTCATGATTTCTAGAGAAGGCAGTGCTCACGAATCTTGGACAAGTGACATCTTTGTCTCAATAATTGCACGGTAATTTGGTTGAGTGACGTCAAGCAAATGAGAATTGAAAAGACAAAGAAGAGTCACGGGATCCTGTCTTCCTCGGATTTCCAAAACATTTGACATTTGCTGTGAATTCCTTTCAATATTCACCGACCCACTAAAAATGTATACGCAACCATTTTGAGCATGGAATCTAAGTTTTAGAAACCATCCAGCTGACGAAGTAGCAGGAATGTTGCCTTGGAAGCCAAGTTAAATATCCAATTCCTTTTACTGAGTATTTAGTATTTGATGTTCAGCATTTATTCAGTATTGAAATATGAAGTTAACATTTACATATAAATAACAAATAACAAAAACACAAAAATATAAAATTTGGAAATGATATGATTAAATGTTGATCATGGGCCATCAATCCCAACAACCCTTTAATAAAAATATAAAACAAAGAAACCTAGGCAACATTGTATTAGCAGAACAATCCCCATTCAGGAAAGTGAGTAATTATAAAACACCTTGTGGAGAACCATGCGAATGACCTCAGAATCTCCTTTGCAGTCACTAAAGTACAAAAAAGAAAAGTGTTGGCTGACCAGTTCCTGGTTTAAGGAGAATAAAGAAATGATGATTGGTTGTGTTAGTTGACAACATCTACTCCAACATTTGCACTGTACTTGGTAGCACCACATTGCTGGACAGTATCACTATTTTGCTGCACCGCTGCATATCAATGTTTACTTTGTCAAAATAATTTATCTATTCAATAAACTAGTTGAATAATAGGGTTTGCAGCGTCTGAGCTTTCCCCCAGAATTTCAGTTCAACATAGTTCCTTTGCACAAACATGTCACAAGATGGCACCAAAGCAGTATTTTTATATCCGAAATGGCTTTGGCCTCAGTGCAGAAATTCCAAAATGTCACTGTACTATATTTCATGTATTTACTTTCTCCATGTCTGCTAGAGCTAATTATGCAAAAGCGTCCGAAGCGAGTCGTTGTCTGAAGGCGGCGCCGTGTCTTTGGTCCTGGGGCTCATCCCGAAGTGAGTAGAAGGCGGGCCTTTGCTTGTGCTTCCGCCGTTGGGCTGACAAGTGCGGCTGGAAAAGGCGACTTATGGAATGCAGACCCTTCGACAGCTCTGGGAAGAGCTCAACCTCATACACCCTCTCAGTAGTATGCTGGAATTTGGGTTCTCCGAGCATCTCCCTGACGCTGTGCGCAGCGTCCCGGTGCAGGTAGTGGTATGCCCTTTTGCCACTGTTGTCCCGGACCGTCACATCTGCGCCGTACTCAGCCACCAGCATGGCCACCACGTAGTCCTGCTGGTGCAAGGCGGCCAAGTGTAAGGGTGTGTAGCCGCCGTGGGTTCTGGCGTTGATGTCCACGCCCACGCCGCCCTTTCGGGACGTGTCCAGGATCTTCACTAGCATGTCGCTGTTTCCACACTTGGCCGCCCAGTGCAGGGCAGTGAACCCAGACATGAAGTCCCGCTTCTCGGCCAGCTGGCGGTCCCTCAAGAGGAGTCCGTAGACCTGACTCCACTGGCCCGATGCGCACTTGACCAACCATTCGTGCTCGGACGGCTCCAGAGGCACCACTGAGGGAATTCTGGACTCGTCGGACACCTTGGCGCCACAGGTCTTCACCTTGTTTCGAAAGAGATCTGCTTTGGGGGGCTCATCCGGGTCCACATGCAGTTTGGGGACCTCAATCCGATTCGTGGGGGGCATCCTCAAGGGCAAAGCATACGGTTTGGGAGTCACCTCCACATTCAGTGTCGGCTTGATTCTCATATTGGAACATATGCTCCTCTGCAAGGCTTGTTCCAAGGGAGAGAGATGTTCTGCGGGTTCCTGTTCGGCTCGGCTCTGTGAGACCCCCACAGTCTCAGGTGGACCCTTCCCCAGGTCACCTGTCACCAGGCTCACTTCTTCCTCTCCGGCACAACTCGTGGAGTCCTGCTCCTTATGTTCATCTCTCTGCTCCAGATCACCTGTGTGAAGATGGTATTCCTGTTCCAGTTCAGCACGGGTCCTTAAGTATATTCCAGTCTTGTTCAAGCTCTCTTCTTCTTCCTCTTCCTGTCCAGCACAACTCTTTGAGCCCTGCTTCTTCTGCTCCCCTTCCTGTTCCTGTCCAGCATGTCTCTTTGAGTTCCCAACAGTCTCAGGTATACAGTGCTGCGGCTCACAAATCTGTTCCTGTCCAGCACGTATCTTTGTGTTCACAATAGTCACAGCTGGATCCTGTTCATGCTCACCTGTCTGTAGACATAACACCTGTCCAAAAAGTATTTTTGTGTTAACCACGGGCTCAAGTCGACCCTGCTCATGTTCACCTGTCTGCAGAAGCAGTTCCTGTCCAGAATGTCTCTTTGGGTTCACAACAGTCTCCGGTTGCTCTTGTCCAAAACAGCTTGGACTCTCAGATGGACTCTGTTCACACGTCTGTAAGCTCTCTCTCTTTTCCCGTCCAGCACAACTCGCGTTCTCAGGCTGTTCCTCCTCCTGCGGTGTCCCTGTGCGGTAGGCCTTCTTGAGCAGCACGTACGGGAGGCCGTCGTCGCCGCGCCTGACGTAGGCGACGCTGTTGACGAGACTCTTGAAGAGTTCCCTCTTGCGAGCCTTCTCGTCGCGGTCCCCACACTCAAGCATTCCTTGAAATCTTGCCAGTAGCTTGGCTTTGCTCACACGGCCCCCCTCGGACAGAAGCACTGACACAACGCTTTCCCGGCTAAGCGACATCTTGATTTTTTTTCAGGAAATAAATGAAGGAAAAGACAACGCTTCCTCTCCGCTGTCAGTGCACCTTGGCCAGCTCCTCCTACCTCCTACCTGCGCCTTTGCGTGACGTGTGCATGAGTATTTTTTTTTTCCACATACAGTAACTAATGTACATTTTTTGACGTTACAACTGTAATTCCTCGTAAGCAGAATAATAGTATGTAATTATAATTGTATAAACGATGCATTTTTTTAGCATCAGAACTTTATTTTCTGCATAAGGAACACTTGTCGATGTATAACACACACACATACACGTACGCACATAGTGAATTGTGTACCTACGTTTGTATTATTAATAATAAAGCATCTTTAATCTACATCAATAAAGGAGATTTCGAAAAGAATTATTTCCCCACATTGTTTTAATATGAAAGATGCATCCACTCCACAAAAATTGGTTGACATAGATTTCCAGCCATCCATTTTCAGCACCACTTCTGCTGCACCATCTCATGAGATCCAGCATGAGACGAGAATCCAAAGTTTTCAAGACATAAGAAACACCGGTTTGAAACCATCATACCAGTTTGAAACCATAACAAACACAATAGTTCAACGAATGCATCTTGACTGTGTCAGTCAAAACATTGGGCCGGTGTCCCTAATGTAGTGGCCTGTGATTTACATTCTTTTAAATTGCTTATATTTTTGCTGAACGGGCACATCCTGTAAACAGCCCTGAGTCGTTTTTCAAATATTCCCTTGTGACACATACTTCTACAGCTCCTGTCGTGGCTTGCACAAGGCAGTGTCTTTGAGATTCTTTTTGGAAGAGGAGTGGAAGTTCCTGACGTGACGCCATGTTGGGACGGGCCACTTACGATAACGAATGTTCCCGTCGTGCACTGCTTCGCCAAAAACAAGTCAGCAAACCTATTTTTTTGTATTTCAAACGAAATATCACGTGATGAATGAAGAATTATTTGAGACGTGTAAAAATTGAATTTGTCATTGTTTTGAATTCGATATTTTTATTGTGAATGAAGGGCTTTGCACACGTATGGGGGACTTTCAAGGCGGAAGTGGAGCGCATGCGCTTATCGAAGCGACACGGGAGTGACGCTTGCGTGAATCCTCTTGCCTCTCCTTTCTTCTCTTCGTCTCGTATGTCAGCAGCAGGCGAGCATTAGCGAGAGACTCGGGCAGCTCCCCTTTCGCCCCCCACTTCTCATTCGGTCCTTCTCAGCTGCACGCCCAAGCACCGCACATTCCGCACCATGGCTGCCACGGACGTGGACGTGTTTTCGGTGAGTGAACCTTGCGTCCCCGGGTGGCGTCTCCCCCTATGACGCTCCTTAAAAAAAACGGTCGCGATAGTGATTTACGGAGAGTGTTAACGGGTGTGTGGCTAAGCCTCTCCCCCGCCTTAGGAGCCACCAATGTGGGGCTGTCTGTGGGGGCTCAACCCACCAGACGATGAAAGTGCTCTGTGAAAGCAGGTTTATCCAAATAAATTACACCTCTTTAAAGTTATTTTTTCCGCGAAGTTTTGACTACAAGCGTTTCTCAATACTTGCATCATATGTGTGTTATTGGCGTGGGTGTTTTTTTTATTTTTTTTAACATTGACTGCATTGGAGTCCATGACAAATTTGAGCTAGCTAGCAGGTATCTGCTCCAATTTTGCCCGTTGCTGAAGTGCATCATGAAGATGCCTCCGCATGTCAATTTCTTGACTAATACCTGCCAACATGCATTTAATCCTTCAGTATGACTTATTTGTGCGTTTGTGTGTGTGTGTGTGTGGGGGGGGGGGCAGGGGGGGACATGTGTACATGTCTCAGATTGTCATAAAAGACAGGAATGTATCTGAAATATTTCACATAATTGATGTCAATAAATCAAGCACAGTTTTTGCTGTGCATGACAAATTCATGGAATTCATCACACTTATAGCACTCTGTTCATGGCTTCTTAATATATAATACTGTACTTGAGTACAGTTACCACTTAAAATATACTGAACACTCCCAAGTATCACCATAACGACTTTATGTCACATTGTATTAGTGTTTCTCGTGACATTAACGATTGCATTGTGGTCATATTTCCACCTTGCACACTGCGACATTTTCGGAACCGTGCACCGTTTTTTTCATAATTTTTATAACTCGTTGTTATTCATTTTATCGTTAATATAATTTATAATATTAACATTATTACTGGCTATTTTTCTTTGAAAAACAAAATCTTAATTCACATCACATTGTGACTTTTTGAATTGTGTACAATTGTAACTTTTTCTTTTTTGATCTCATCTCACATCTGCGCTTGTCATTTGGAACAATTTGTATCATTTCAGTGTGTCCTTAATATGCCTTGTTTACTTGAGGGCCTCATGACAGTTTTAATGCATGCTTATGAAGTGGACAGTAGGCAGGACTGAGTTTTAAGGATAAAGGGATTAAGAGGAAGCTCTGGGCTACTCCTTGTTTGTGCAAAAAATAGAAACAAATAAAAAGAAAGGAATAGGATCAAAAGCTATGTGTGCTGCTGAGCTTCTATTCTAGAACATAGTACTGCTGACTGAGATTTTGGAATATAAAATTGGGGCATTGATTATGGGAAGGGTGAGGGCGGTGGGGGGGGTGCTGAGAATGCAGAGCAGCAGGGCAGCAGTAGCGGCTACACAGCTGGAGCCCAACTGGCTTCCTGTCTCTTTTTGGGAACTAAGTGAGACCATATTGAACATACCGACACCGTTGGTGTAAAGGCCACTCAGCTATTGATATGGCCGTGTCATCGGCACGCGTTGCGGAGCTTCTGCATCACTTTGTAGGCCATGCGAAACGATCGATGCAGCCAATTACCCCGCAACTGTTGTTTTCTCTCATTGATTCAGGTCGAACGGGGGCCAATGCATAACAGCACCCTACTCGTTTAAAAAGGCCCTCCAGTGACGTTTGAACACACAAAGCATGTCAAGTTTGCAGAATAATTTGCATCAAATTAAGCAGTACTTGATGCAGTTGTCCAGCCCCAACAAGAAGTGAAATATGAGATTCAAATTGCAGCACTTTTCCCATCATTGACTTATTTGCTCAAAGAAGGGTTTTGAACCCCACCGCACTCACTGGTCCCCAAGCATGCTGTGCTGCTGTTACATAAAGAAAAGCCCTTCAACATGGTCACCATGTAGGGCGCTTACTGACCCTGAAGACCATTGTCTCTTTCCCCGCTAGGCCTGGCATGCAATCTGGAATTATCATCATGCACAACTCAAGGCAAGAGACAGCGGGGTCATGCCATGCCACAAGATGCTTTGCAACTACGGACTGTACACCAACTTGTTTTTACACAAAGACGACTTCTCAGACGCATTCAGGGACTTAATTATTTAACGCGTTCGGGTCAGACGATGCGCGCCGCATGCAGGATTTCGTATGTCATCGGTGATGTATTGCGGTGCTTATTGAGCGAACATGCCACAGGCGCCCCGAGGCGAGCTTGTCAGAGTCAATGTTGTGCATGAAGGATGAGATCAGCGTCGCCGCCGCTATGCGAATGAGTCAATGTCTATGTATGGACGAGGTCAAAGGCTCCCAAAACTTGAGAAGTAGACCTCAAGATAATGTTGTCCAGCAAATTTTGATTGAGGGTCTAAGTTATTATGATAAATAAGTTACACAGTGCAACTTTCCAAGGCGTCACGTGAGCCCGTCCAATCAAACGAGCATCTAGTTTGACGGACCAAAGACTTGTCAGACAACGACAATTGCTTTTCAAAACAACGGGTTGTGAACTTGTCAGACAACGACAATTGCTTTTCAAAACAACGTGGTTTTTTTTTGGTGACCTTTGGAAGTTCCAATATGTGATTGCGCAAATTTTTGGTGAAAGAAAAAAAAAAAGTACATTTGACTTTCGAGGCTGCACTGTGGGACAAAGCGCAGGTTGAAGACCACCTGTAATGGTGGATTCCTTCACTAGTCACTGGCGCAGCTCATTCAAATATTTGATC